GCTCTGAACCAACACACATTCCAAACAACCACTGCGCTAGTCTTTCTAAATGGAAGCTAAATTGGTCATTTTTAGAAAAGTAGCTTTGGGTACTTGGAAGTATAAAAGAACAAGAAACTGCATCATTTCTGATCCGTTTGTTTCAGAAATGATTTGTACAGTACGAGCTTATCATGGTTAATACTGTGTAGACCATCAAACCAGCCCAGAGTTTACTTTATAGTAAATAATGGCAAATTAAATGATACATTTGGGGAACAAAAAGTACAAAAAACATATTTTCCCTTCATTGTTCAACCTTCATTAAAAACTTCATGATGAGAAGTGGTCAAGACGATGCACGCTGCTGTTCCTATAGTAATCTCATTATAACTTCACACCCCAGTGAACCTTTAGATAAAAAAATATATATAATATTTTAGTAATCCTATTTGTACCTGTCATGATTAGATAGCAAGCATGTGTATCTATGGTTTGAAGACTTCAACCATTGATTTATGTATTTCATTCATCAAAGGAGGATTTATTTGTCTGCTAGTTAGTTAACAGCAAGCCCAAACAACCAACCTGACACTGATCCAATATGAAACGGACATCGTTGCCTGTACAGAAGTTGTACAACATTGCGTGAAACTTTGAATGTGTTGCATTCCCAGCTCTGATTGATCCACTCCACATAAACCACAATGTTTTCCACCACAGAGCAGATACTCCTCTAGATCCGCTCATAGATGCTCACCAGCTGGCCGCCATTGGTTCACACCAAACTTTTTACACCACATCATACACATTATGTTAATAGAGTTGTTAAATACAATAATTAAAAATGTGTTAAAGTCAAGTTGCTCAGATTGGTTTAAATTCACTCCATTCTATTACAGACAATGTGTGTTTGATACTCAAACCTCTTGTGACAAACAGCTCAAAGAAACTCTTTGATCTTAATTGATTAAAACATGATGTGATCATATTTAATCATACTGTGTTTACAGAAGAGATATAATATAGTTGTATATAATATGAGCAACAATTTGGACCTGCTCAAAGATCTGGAGCCAAGATTAGGGACCACTGTTTGTATATTAATCACTGACAAGTAGTTAGTGGATGAAAAGGTATTCAGATCCTTCACTGCAGTAAACGTACTAACACCATACTGATCAAACAATCCACTACCAGTAAAATACCTGCATTCAAAACCTTAGTCAATGTTATTATCAGCACAATCTACTTTAAGTGCAGAAAGTAAAAGTACCCGTGCAGTAAAATGTACATTATTTGCCCCTGACCTGCAATCTGAAAATCTCCCCCGAGCGTCTGCGTCAGAGTGATATCCGGTTTAACCCAAGACGAGGATTGTAACAAGGGCGTAGGTTTGCATAGGGTCCATAGGGACTAGTCACGACCAAAGTTTGGGAAAGACGCAATTGTCCCCACCAATATTTTGTTAATTTTAATTGCCTGTTAGAAAAAATAAGCAGACACTTAGATCTCCGTGGTCAACTCAGCAGACACTTACACTTTTAGTGCTCCTATATGCTGACATTCACGGTAAACGCATTCAAACGGCACAGATCGGGAGCGAGCGAAGGACTTTGAAAGTTAGCGGAAAGATTAACGTGAGACAACATCCGGTTTCTTCAGACGAACATCCGGTTTTCAGAATAAGATGCCAACAAAGTATGCATTATATTCACATTAAGTATAAAACATGCTACCTGCATCTTGTGAGTTAAAGGGAAAATACACCTAAATTGTGCATAAAGTGTCTTTATTCTTTGATCGCTGGGTAACCATCATCACCTCTGAGTTACAGCATTATATTGATGAACAGTAGAGCTGCATTCACATGCTCTGACTGTCATGAAGACACATTTGTGCTGAAACACTTTATTCCTGTTTCACAGCAGTGGAACGTTTCACATACAGTCACACACTGAGCAGAGATAGTGAAGAGGTAGAACTGCTACTGTGTAAAGGGAATACTGCTGTTAAAAAGCACCTTATTTGTTTAAAGTGTTTGCAAACCAAATGTTATTGCCCTTTTGTCCATATAGCAGTACTTTTAAAATAAAAGTGCACAATACACTACTTTTGAATTCATTATTGAACTTTGCCATAACCATGCGATTAATCACAAAAAATCCATGCGATTAATCGCGATTTAAAAATTGTAATCGTTGCCCAGCACTACTAATAATTGCATAAAGGAGGAAAGCACTTTATTTGTAGCCTATTAAGTGCTGCAGATTTAATTTTTTAATTTAAATTAAACTATTGTTTCTCACATGGACAAGTTATTTATAACTCTAACATGCTACATATGTGCATGCGTTCTGGTTTGTATGTTTTCTCCCGCTTCAAATTACAATCCAATAGCCTATCATCATACTTAACGATATAAAGTTGACACTGTCAGGTCCATTCTCCATCCATTGTGTGCGGTCCCTTTAACAATTAGGATTTGGGAGTGACGCGGATATTCTTTATTTGAGAAAAGTTCATATTTGTGTTGTCAAATTTCACTATGACCCTCAAATTCTGTCTCTTGTGTTATCATATACTGAATGCAAGCAAAACTACAGAGCAAAATCACTCTCTTTCTGATTGAACCAATCTATGAACTGTCTGAAACAATGGATATCCGCAGCTCCAAATGGGCCCTAAAAAAAATTGCCTGTTGCTGCGCGCAAACATGCCACTCCCCTTGGGGCTAAGCCCCCCCTTTCTTTGAATCCTCGAAACACCCCTGCTATCAACTAAGACTTTTTTAGATGGGGGGGACTGGCAGTGTCCCTACCAATGCTGAGACCAAACCTACACCCTTGGATTGTAACCAATTAGATGTAGAAATACAATGGCGACAGGGTCCGCCCACTTACTGTCAAAAAGAAAAACTACTCGCGCGCGAGCAGGTAAAAGAGAGTGAATTCTGCTCGCAGAGTGACGTAAAAGCGCTCGTCAAAAGTAAAATACGTGCGCGGCTGTTTGATTTTCGCGCGCGCATGGATCTCATTTGCGCTCTCTAATTTTGACAGTGATTTGCCTTCATACACATGACTCATGCATCATCATGTTAGTTTCCATTGCTCCTTTCTCTTCATCAACAGACCAACTGTTCCGCCTCAGCCAAGTGTAAACGCTTGTTTGCCATATTTGTACTTTAAAAATAGAAAGATAAAAATAATTGATAAAAGTGTTAGTTGGTGGCTAACCTGAACTACCTGCAACATGAACAAGAGATAAACAGACAAAACATTGCTTTTTTACATAGCTTTGTCCATTTCAATCAATCATTCACCTAAATAACAGGTCCTGGTACGAGAACGTGTAACGAGTCATTTGGACGTCTGAATGAAGTTCAACAGTGTAGCCGAGGGGCCGACTACACTGTGCTCTTCATTCCACAGACCACAGCCTAACAATGTAGCTGGGGGGGGGGGGGGGGTCTGTTGTGTGTATGCTGAGCCAGAATTGGGCCTGCGCTCATTAGCAGCCAGCCCCGGGGGCCGCATACTGTACATGAGTGAATGGCCTCCATCATCTCTCACCCCCTGCCTCCCTCAAATTATTATGTCACCTGCCGTTGTTTGTGAGAGAGAGAGAGAGAGAATTTGTTCTCCGTTCATTTAGGCCAGAGAGACGAACCAAACCAGCACAACCGGGTCAACAAAACCACCAGACTTCAACTGTAGAGCCACCAGCAGGTTGACACCAACTGTTTTGAGGGTTGTCATGAATTTTTGAAAACATGCAGTGTCGTGCGCGTAGTGGAAGCCTGCTCCTCTTTCGAATATCAAAGCTGAGTGCAACCCTAGTGATGGAATCCAGATCCTCCTGTGTGAGGCAGCTGAAGACACACCACTGGAGGGGTTGCTCGCACACACACACACACGTACTGATAAGCGGGTGCAATGTGCAGCAGCGACTGGAAGAGAGATTTCCAAATAAGGACGGGGAGGATTTAAGGCCCCCCACTCATTATTCTCTCAGCTGGATACATTTCAGACACTTATTTGAAATCATCACAGATTTTTACACTTTTTTTTTTTTTACACTAGTGGATTAAAAAGCCACACGTAGACAAAGTCCACATTGAGAAACACGTCCCATCTGTATCAGTTTTGGAGGTTTAGTCCCACAAAAACGCCTCACTAGTTGAACATGTTTTTTTTTCGAAAATTCCAATTCGTGGTTTTTGTGTTTTAGGAGCTGATGTCATTGAACATTGAACTATCGTTCAATATTTTTGGAAACGTACTTTTTTTGCTTTCTGTCCATGGGTGATGTAGAGCATTGTGGATATGGATGTGCTTCACGTTAGAGATAACGCATAGCGAGTGTTAAGTCAAGTCCAAAGAATAATCATTTGACAAATAAATATTGATTTAAAAAAAGATTTGATTGGTTTTAAAAATGACTTTGGAGCGTCATTGAGAAACGTAACGTAACACAATAATGATTTTATCTCGACTATCGGTTTTTCATAAACGTTGGAAGCCAAAATCGTTATTGAAATGAAATAAAATAAAATAGATTAATGGCCCAGCCCTAGAATGCAGGTAACTTGTTATACATCTTCCCTTCTCTCTGCTTTCTCTGTCGGTCAGACGGGGACATGGTGAGTTCATGGCTGGGCTCACAGTATTGAATCAACACCAATGACATCAAGACTCTGAATCAAATGGAGTCATCAGATTCCCAAACATTCCCATCCCGACTAACCACGTCCTGGCTCATGTTTGAGAAGCGGTTTGTAATATTTAGGGTGAATAGCTTAAGAGATGAATATAAGACCGAGATGGTGGGTGATTGTAGAGCATCCTCTGTCCCACCGACTGTATTTTACTGTGAGAGAGCAGCTCAGCACCACCGTGGTAAAGTGTCACGTCAAGTCTACATACTAAAACCGAGCCAGGTCCCTTACTGGAACCCTGGACGTGGGCTGTGGTCTGGAGCTCTGCTGCCAGCCAGCGCCCCCTGTCCTAGTGTGTCAGGACATGACATGTATCTCCACCAAAGGTAACGCTGTAACCTGTAATGACCTGACGGCAGTATCACAACTAACTCACCCATCTGTCTGCAGATCCCTCCTGTTGCCAACATGCTGCCGAGTTCTCACCTTGCAAAGAAGCTTGTGACCAGGTAAAAAACACACACTCTCTCTCACACACAGACACACACACACACACAAGCCCCCTCCTCGGCCCATTATAGTCAGCCTATGAATAGAGGTTTTTGAAGGGGAGTGGGGGTAAACTTTTTTTTTTTTGTCTTGTGGTTCTTTGAAGTGAAGAAAAAAAGTCTCACCCAGTTTCAATTGGGAGCAGGTGACGCTCTCCCCCTCCCTCTCTCTCTCTCCACGTCTGTCTTTACGGTCGTAAAGGAAGCTTTTTCTCTGCGAGCAGCAAACGGGCAGAGAGTTCAAACCTTCCTCGTGCTTTTGAAGTGAAGAGGGAGGCTGGACAGAACTCGCTGTGCTCTTAATGGCCGACACCAGCGCTTTGCCAGCCAAAGAAAGAGAGAGGAAACTGATTGAAGAAGACATTAGATGAAAAGATGGAGATGGATGTCTCAAAAGAGAGGAAAAAGTGGTGGGGGGGTGATAACGATGAAAGAGATGGAGCAGAATAGATAATGGACTTTCAGAAGTGTAATGGCCTCAGAACACCCCTCAGAGGTTGTGCTTAAGGTCTCGTGTGTGTGTGTGTGTGTGTGTGTGTGTGTGTGGGTGGGTTTCTTCGGGTGTCACGGGTGGGGTCGAGTGTCGATGTAACCACCAGGACCATTTTTAGCTCTAATGGAAGCCGCCTTGCGCCTGGTTACACCCAGAAAACGAGCCGTTCTTCAAAAGGTGCGGGTGGTCATACATAGAACCCAACGGCTGTTTGAGAAATACAGATGTGCTTCCAAGCTGTTTTTGATACTGCTGGTTTGGAACATTTCAAATAAAAGAAAGTAGACTTGACTCTCTGAAATGTCAGCACCTGGCTACTGAAGTATTACCAGGAATGTGATTTAATATTATCACCTCAAACAACCCAAAGAGTGTCTTCTGCGTGGATTTGTGGTCTCCACGTATAACAGCCTAAGTTGTATAAATGGAGATAATGGCTCACTTTCGGTTTGTTTTGCCTCCGGGGCCAAAGTTGATGCTAAACCTTCACTTTACCCAGCAGTTAGGAAGCAAGACATGACAATGATTTTGAAGGAGCTGCAGCATTTCATGGAATAAGAGAAAAACGCCAACTCTCAGGCCTCGATGACGCATAATTTGAAAACCGCTGCTTTTTTTCTCTTAGCCGCCCACCGCTCGATGAGCCCGGCACCAGAGAAAGAGCCCATCAGTCTGCCAGCCGGCACTTATTCACCTTTCATACACGCAGAGGGAGTCTTACAAACGGCCCGTCGGTTTTCAGAGTTGGTCTTTTCAGAGAGAGAAAGTTCTTCTTTGATTGTCTGCCAACAAATCACTGTCGCTCGGCTTGGCGGTGTGTTTTTCTGTCACTTCGGCGGAGATGCCAGGGCACTTGGAATAAGCAGTGGATGAAGTCACTGTCGGTCTGGATTGCTTTCCTCCGATGCAGTTGCTTCCAACAAAGACCAGTCCAAGAACACCTGATTACAAACACATTACGAGCACCTGGAGCCTGGCATGAAGGAGCCGCTCCCATAAATGATTAAAATGGACAGCGGCGTACAAAAGCAGAACTCCATGCTTCAGCTGTTCTTCTTTTTACCCAAGTGAAAGATTAGAAGGTGCTTTAGTAATCCAGTGGGGATATACAATTGTAACACTTAACGGAAATAGGGCAAATTGGGAATGTTCAACACATACAACCAACACTTCAATGTGCATTTAGACGATTGGTATGATTGGCCTCCACCACACATCTGTCTCTTTAGCTGATACATGCAGCAGTGTTGCAGGAATGAGTCAGCATTTTTACACTTCCAGTTACCTCCTCTGGAAGTCAATGGGTTCTGTGAAAGTGTTTTAGTTAGATGCCTGAAATAAGGTCTGTGGTTAACACAAGCGTAAAAGCTTTTAACGTTTTGTTGTGAAATACTTCAGTAAACACCTCTTTCTTAAAACTCGATAGCGTCCTAAATAGGCGGTTGCTAACAAGTGGCTATATGAGACTACGTAAGTTGTCGGGGACATTAAACATCACGTCGAACACATCAAGCTTATAGGTTACATCCACACTACCACGTTTTTGGTTTAATAAACTGCATTTGTGTCTAGTGTCCAGACTACTGCTGCGTTTTCGAACCCCCTAAAACAGAGACGTTTGAAACCGCCGGTGACGTCGTTTTAGTTTGAAAACGCCGGGGTTTGTTTTTGTGCGGACGGGCAAAAACCATGACGGACACCCATGTTTGCTGCTTGGTTGGGTCTCATCACTCATCATGACCCCTATCACGTGATCCTTTTCCAGAAGAAAACCAACAAACAACATCAGCCCCGACTACCTGTGGTTAATTTCAACGTGGATAACGAATTAACGGCGCCGCTGACCTTGTTCACGCTAACAGCCGTTGTGCAGTTAAATTCTGTATTTTACAATGCTACTACTGCCTACATGTGCCGGGGGCAAGCTATTATTATTAGGACGGAGATCACTTTTGTTTTATAAAACGCTGTGACTGCCGACCATCAAGCATCTTTTGGTATTCTTTGCCTCAGTCAGTGTTGGAATCACTGTGACGTCTCAGAGCAGTGGAAAGGGAAGAGACCTCCGGTCCTCCAGCAGTCTGAGTGTGTGGAGCTGTAAATCTCACCCACTGACTTCACACTTCAGCCAGAGACTGCTGGCAGCGGCTGCGTTCTCCCAGGCTCTCGCCTTTGTATGTTCACACAACACTTGGATGTGTTATGGCTGAGTGTGTGTGTGCGTGTGGAGACACACGCCACAAACTTGGATGCCTTATTGCTGTCTCAGAGAGCATATCTCAGAAGTGTTGCGACTGACTTCATAATGCAACACTTTCCCATGGCCCGGACACATTCCTCTGTGTGGGGAAAGATTATGCACGGCCAAAGGTGCAACAAGTACATTTCTACTGTCTCCTGGATCAAAGTCAGCATAATATACAGTATGTCGGGGTCTTAATCAGTTCCAATAACTCAGTAATAGAGTCGGGGAGTGTTCCAATGGCGAGATCCACAAGCCCCTCTTTCCTTAAAGGAACAGTGCGTAGCTTTTAGGGGGATCTACTGGCAGAAATTGAATTTAATATGAATAAGTTTGTTGTCTGTAGTGTAAGATCACCTGAAAATAAGAATTGTTGTTATTGTTGGCTCAGAAGGAGACGTTTATATCTACCTATAAAGAGCAGGTTGTCTTTAGGGAGCTGCCGCCATGTTCTACGGTAGCCCAGAACGGACAAACATCAAACCAAACACTGACTTGGTTCATGCGTTTTTCTGCTTTCTCGTCAGCCACTGTAGTTTCAGCCGATTGCTATCTGCAAATGTGCCACCAGTTGGTGGCAGATCCTACACACTGCTCCTTTAAAGGGAGAATACAAACATACACCTTCTGAATGTTGAAGTCTTCTACGACTGAATTAACTGCCTTGTTAACTCGTCGTAAAGCGCACTTCATACAAACTCTACAGAAACGAAATAAAGCGTATTAAATCACCGTCTCTGGTCTGAATAAATCCTTAATTAACCGAGTTCGATGTGAAAACATGCCGACTCTGCACACTTTGCACCCTTTTTCAAAGTACTGTTTAGAGGTTAAAACTGCTTAATCCTCACAAGTAAACCGGAACAAATTCATTGTTCTTGTCCTGGCCGTCGGACTGTGGAGCCGGGCATTAGAACAGCCTTTTGTACCACTTCTTCTTCTGCTGCTATTTTGTGATCTGGCATTTTGCTCAATTCATTCTGTAGCTTCTGAGCTTGAGCTCGCTCAATTTCCAGATAGCTCTCCAGCTCCGGCTCCACGTTGGTTTTAGCCACTGCAATCAACTTTCTTTCAGCACGGAGCTCTGTCCATCACCTTTGACTACTTTTGAGCAAAAAGCATCATTGATGTAAACGCAGAGTCCGCCTCTTCTCGTCCAGCTGTCCGCCCGGCAATTTGAGCTTGATCCGGATTCACAGCACTCACCAACTTCCCGTTGCTGGGTCAGCCTGACAATGCAGTCACTGACATTTTTGACTTTCATTCAATTTTGTCCAGAACTTTTTGACTACTGCTTCATTTGAAAAGCTCTTGATCGACAGCTCAACTAAAGCATTATTCACTTTCCCCTCAGGATGAATTGTAATTAAAGCTGCGAGCAGCGATGAACGGGCCCTCGCAATCTGCAGCTCGTCGGGGGTGCCGGCGGGACTCCGGCCTGCGCGGCCAAGAACGTCGCGTCCGCAAGTGAGACGGATTTAATCCCTCGTGGACCGCCTGATGCTGGAAATGATGCTTTGCAAATAGTCCGATGCTTCCTGTATCCGCTGCCTGGCGCTAGAACACATGCATCATGTAGCTCTGTGTCAAATGTAAACCACATTGTCTAAAAGTCATGTAAATCGGAGGTGTTTATCACAAAATGCAGATTTCCTTTCGCCAGCAGGTGGCGCTGTGAGTACTAGTGAAAATAAGCTTGTAGACATCCTCAGGCCATGAGTGTTATCGAGCATGTGAAGTCTGAGACTGTTTGGAACATGTCCAGCTGAATTACATCAGCTTTTTTCATGGGGAATCACGTAAAGTAGCCGCCCGCTACGGTTCCGTCAAACGTAAAGCTTTTGATAACTTTTAATTACAACTGTCTTGAGATTGTACTGACAAAATTTAAACAGGATCTGATGAAGTCCCTAGGAGGAGTTCGTTAAAGTATAGCGACTAGAAATAGGCCAAAATCGATGGAAAAATGACACATAAATCAAAATGGCCGACTTCCGGTCAGGTTTAGAGCATGGTCCCAAGAGACTTATTTGTAAGTCTCCACAGGATACATCTGCCTACCAACTTTCATACATGTAGCTGAAACGTAGCGCTGGAGCTGCTCTTTTGAAATATTGTAGGGGGCGCTATAGAGGCAATTTAAAACGGATGATTAAAAAAATCATATACAATATTTCGTCCAATGACCTTTGACACATGTAAAAAGTTGCATGCGTTTTTGAGCATCCCAAGTTAGTAAAACCATCAGCTTCGCTTTTCATGGCGAACGATGCGTCGCCATGGCAACAGCGTTCAATGAAAACGCACAATATTCTCGGCGATTTATCATCAATGTCTTAAGGCTATCCTTACCAAATTTGAGACTCGTCAGATCACCTGGCTAGGAGGAATAAATAAAAGTATAAAATTTGACATTTCCTTTAGCCAGTAGGCGGTGCTATGAGTTGGAGGTTTTTTCAATTGAAGTATGTTCAAACTTGAAGTAGCATCATGCATAAGAAGTTTTGTGCAGATTGGATAATGTACCTTTGAGTTATAACAACTGATATTTTCATAAACAATGAGGCAAAATGGCCGCCACGTCAAGGTTCTTCGATGAAAGCGCACGATTTTGATCACAAAGGTCTTAAGAGCATCCTGACCAAAGGAGAAGTTGATCGCATAAATTCTCTAGGAGTTCGTTCAAATACGAAGGATGAAATCTGTAAAAAGTGACAAAAAGCACAACTTCGCGGGTTTGCTGTAGCGCCCCTTAGTGGTTGAATGCAAAACAAATCTCAGGGTATGTTACAGCATGCGATGTGCACATATGCTGCAAATTTGGTAATTGTAGGACAAACAGTTGAGAATTTATGTGTATTGATATTAAGCCACGCCCCTAAGAAGTTTATTGGTCCATATTTTGTAAACACTAAGAGATATCAAAAAGCTTTCGTTAGCTTTTGATGATCTAGATCCAATAATGATCCACAGCAAATTAAGTAGCAATCGGACGCAGCATGTAGGAGGAGCTTGCAAAAATGTGTTTTTCACTAAATTCAATATGGCGGAAAATCTAAGTAGGCGGAGCTTAGGGGTCTGAGAGGCTTTTTTTTAGATCTAGCGGATTGGGACATCTGTGATGAATTTCAAGTAAATTGGACATACTGGCCGAGGGGCGTCGCCGGTCCGATTTGTAGGGGGCGCTAGAGAGCCATTTTTTTACACACAAATATGCAAATTTTGGCAGCAGAGTTTCTCCACCAGACGTGACAGGTGTGCAAAATTGGTGAGTTTTCATGCATGGCAAGTACCCCTACAAGCTCCATCCCCAGAAAAATAAAAATCATAAAGAATACCCCTTACAATATCAATAGGGCCTTCGCAGGCCCGACGTCGGTTGCTCGGGCCCTAATAACTTTGATGATCCATCCAACTCTTTTAACAAATAACACCAAATATCTGCATTCTTGACAGCAATACAACTATCGGTGTATCACTCCATTCCGTCTCATTTGTGCCATTGTATTTGACTCTTCATTGTGGTCGTCTAATGCATTTGCTTGCCATGAAACCTTGTATTGCAGCTGTGTTTGAAAGGTGTTTGAAACTTCATCAACCGGCCCTGCTGTAAGTTCTTCAGCCACTTTAGACTCCTAGTAAAGCTGCAATATGTCTTTGAAGGACCAACAGGCAGCTCCAGACAAGAAACACTACCAACATGTAAAATAAGCTGAATATTTTCACGACTATATATGATGTCAGAGTGTGTTGAGCTTTGGCTCTCTGAGAAGACGGAGTGCCCTTTAAGATGCAAGGTGGTTGAACTAGTAAATGATTGGTTTGGTTTCTACAAAGCACATGTACATGGATTTAGAAGGTGTTTTTATTAAGTCAGTGTTGTTCTCCCATGTTGCAGCTCGCCACTATAAAGAGTGAGTCTCGTCTAAAGCATCTGCTCCAGAGGTTACCCAGTTACTGTCCGGAGTTGATGGTGAGTACACTTCCTCTATTACAATGATGCTTGCTGTATTTATTGATCAGCTGTTTGATTATTTGGGTTGGGATGTAATCATTCACCCCTTCTTGCTCAATACTGCACTGTAAAAAGTGTCTTTAAAATCCAATTGGAACAAAAAAAATTGCATTCAACTAAACTAAATAATTAAAAAGAAGTGTCGATAAAATGATGATGATGTTTACTAATCATTAGCAATGCTGTAATTTATGTTATTTTATCTTTTGTGTGGGTTTTAAATAATATATTCTATCGTAGCTGATGGCAAACAATCACATTCTACCATTAATACAAGTTTATTGCTGCAAACATTATTACATTTTATTTACTATTTTAGGTCTTTTTTTTATAATTACCAAATGATTTGGGAAATGATCTCTGGTAAGTGAGATCCAAAGCACACCTGCAATGCTGATTGCCGTAGGTGCTGCCAAAGAGAACTAAACGGAGATCTTCTAGACTAACTTTAGACAGGAAGTGGGTCGGTGGTTGTGATTACTCGACTACTGGAGCACCTGGTTAAACCACACACACACACACAGGCTCAGAGCTTCCTCCCACCATGGGTAATTACTAAGCAGAGAGGCTGGTTTGCTGCTTGTCCCCCTCTCTCTCCATGAGCCACACCAGTAATTAGACCGAGGCAGTCTGAAATGAACATGTGTCCAGTTCTTATTCAGCCAAACCGATGCCCAAACACTGTAAGCTATTGACCTGCATTTACCGTACAAACGTGATGCACGTGTGTGTATTATTACAGCTGTATTGGGATTGAAATGTTACTTCTAAACATGTAACTGGTAGCATTTAGATTTAGGTCTTAGTGCTGTCACAGTACCAGAGATGTTGGTTTTGTTGCCATTCTTTGAGCCTGATTAACTCAATAAAAACATTTGTGCCATTTTCTTAGTAAATCTGGCCCTTTGTCATGAATACTGGATATGTTTTGATACTGAACATTAAAAAGAAATATACAATTTTATAAGTAAAAAAACAAATTCCAGCTCACCGAGAAGAGCAGAGAGGTAAACAAAGGCAAAGAACACAACACATCGCTGCTGTTACATAAACAAGTTTAGAAAACATGAAAATAAAGAGCATGAAAGTTCATTCTTGACACTAAAAACAGCTATCGACAACTTCAGTTGCCATCGAGATGGTTCAGTTGTCATCATGTGACCTAAGCACGAACTGACCAGGTGGCAACCTCTGGTTCTGCCGAGTGAAGCCAATGCATTCTCTCTAGTGTCCACCAGGGGGCGACTCCTCTGGTTGTATAGAAGTCTATGAGAAAATGACTCTACTTCTCTCTTGATTTATTACCTCAGTAAACATTGTAAACATGAGTTTATGGTCTCAATCTCTAGTTTCAAGTCTTCTTCAATACAGCATGATGTTCATTTAGTACATTATGGTCCATTTAGAGTCACACAGACCATAAAGCAGGGGATGCTTTAGGGCGGGGCTACACGGTGATTGACAGGTCTCTACCAGAGACGTATACGGCGTCTCTGCATAACTCCTCCGCATTCTAAATATGGTCACTTCTCTTCATTGGCTAGAAAAAAAACCAACATGGCGACGGCCGTAATCCAAGATGGCGATAGCGAAATCGAGGCTTCATAACGTTGGGTCCACAAACCAATGGGTGACGTCACGATGGCTACGTCTGCTTTTTTAATAGTGTATATAAGATACGCTAGTTCATTTTAGGTTTTTTGAGCTGAAAATGGAGACTGTGAAAGAAACACTGCTTAGTTGGCCTTATGTAGGTCATATCAGACTGTAACAAAAAGAAAGCTTTCATCGTACACGTACACACAAAGGCTCTCTGGGTAGACTGGAGGGATCTCTGCTTCTGCTCATGTAAACGGCAGCATTATTCTTCCTGTCATGTTGTTGCCTCATTGGCCCCTGCTACATCACAAATCATGTTTATGCCTCATGTAAAGACACCGTTACTCCCCTGCACCGCCTCATAAATGAGGCTGACGCCCGCTGACGGGAACCTTTGTTCCCCAGCCAAGAGACACACGGAGGGAGTGTTACCAGTGACGCGCTGACTTCACACAAAATGATCTGTGAAAGCATAAGGGCATGAAAGAGCTTTTTTCCTCTCTCTCTCTCTCTACCTACCACACTTCTTTTTCCATGTTTGCCCGTGCTGCTGTCCCTATCTGCGCCTGTCTCTCTGTCCCAGACGAGCTCGTTCGTGAGGATTACTCCCACGACATCTCACCACAAACCCAACGGGACTTTCATAGGATTCATATGTTTTCCTGTTGTTCTCCATTGTTTTGATGCAGGGAATGTCACGGCCGTTTCTCTGTGAAATCAGAGAAAAACAACATTTACGTCTCAGTCGATCGTTCAGTATTTGTCTTCACTGGAAGATATTGTTTTGATAATACTTATGTGCATCAGGATTTTTTCCCTGATCTCACCTAAAGACGCCTATGCATCCAACTCTGTGTCCTTCATCAGTTCATTAAAGGGCCAGTGTGTCAAGTTATGTTGTATTCGGATGTGTTTTATTAAACCTCAAGTCGTCTGACATTAACCCTTTCTTCTCCTTTGCTTTCTAGAATGAACTTTGGACGTGCATCAACTCTTCACTCCCAGGTGAGAGAGGAATTTTGATATTAAACCGTATATGTGTAGCATTTTAAAACGGTTTCACTCGCAGCGTTGGTATCCGTCACCACTTTAAGGGGAGTAGTATTGGTACTGGTATCGTGGTTTTTTTAAAACCACACCCAGCCCTAGTCACGGTCCAACGTGTGTGTGATGTTCAGCTTGTTATGGGCTTCTGCTAAGTGGCAGAAAAAATAAAAGATGAATGCTGTCACGATCAGGCTTTGCCTTGTGTGTTCTGTGTGTCTTTGTGTAGCTCCACCCTCCTCACTCTACCTGTCAGTCACTCCCTCAGCATCAGCTTAACTCCCTTCACCTGCCTCTAATCAAGCACTCCCTCCTCATCAGCACAACTCCCCTCACCTGTTCAAGCCACTTTATAAACCCCTGCCTCTCAGTCACTCACTGCCAGGTCACTGTTCATACCTACCCGCCCGTTTTTGCTCGTCCTGTTCCCGGTTTCCCAGTCTGCCTGCCCTGCCTCGTCCTGCCGGATACCCCCCTCTTGTCTCGTCCTTGGATTCCCTGTTGTGTTCGTGATTCATTAAAACCCTTTTCTCACTGCATCTGACTGTCTGCGCTTGAGTCCTCCATCATGCCCCGTGACAAATGCTGCGTTAAGCATGACAATCAGATCATAGGGCTTTAAATTGTACAATAACGTAAGATTTATTTTAACAGATTTTTGTATTTTTTATATATATTTTGTAGTTGTGAGAAAAAAATGATTTAGTTAGGCACATGGTGGTTTTAATTGTCTAATAAACGCACTTGAAAACCAATCCCAATGTCCACGATAACGGACACACGGACTTTGAGGCGTGTCTCCACTAAATTCATAGCGTTGTGACAAAACCAGAGGAATGCAAGCCTAGGCTATATTACACATCTGGTTTATTCATCAACCATTTCTTTAAATTCTGCTTTGATGGTGCTGTTTTTGAAATAATACAAACAGGTTAACAGTTAATAGATTGTGACTTGTGGCCAGAAGCTTGCACGTCATTCCAGAGTGCCGTGTTATTGTGAAAATATTATGTACAATCATAGACGACGACGACAAGGGGGTTGGGTCTTTAGACTGAGTACTCATCCTATCTATATGTCTAAACTTACTGTGCTTACAATAAATCAAAAGGAGACACCTTGACTCTAGGAATGACACGAAACATAACATTCAGCCGGGCAGTATCTACTGTGTGTATCTGGTTGCATGAGAAGTAATGGTAGCGAGTGAAGCTGTTACAGCTGTGAGCGGAGCTGGATCCGACCAGAGCAGAAAGCAGGCCCCGGATCAAAGGCCTAGGTCCTGCTGCCTGTGCTCGGAAACAAATGTACCTGTCAGACGCCTAATGGCCTCCAGATCGGGAGGTATTGTTATCCTTTTCTTTTTTTTTTTGCACTCATTAAACACTGGCGTCCAGACAGCCTCGGGACTCCCTCAGATCCCATCGGGCTCCTGAGATATCGTCAATTCTCTGATGTGCACCGCATCCCTTCATTTCTCAGAATGCCTTGCTAAATGTTGTGGAACTTGTTGGAGCTCAGCTTGGAGCACAATAAAGAGTAGAGGGTGTAGCGGTGCATTCAAATGGCTCGGTGTATTTCTGGTGCACCACAGGAAAACCTTTTGGACAATTGTATAAGCAGGCTAATGATTTTTTATAGTGATGTTTTTTGAGTTCTTAAATAGACGAAGCCATTATTAGAATGCATCATTGCCGTTTCAGGTAACCTTTATGTTTTACGACACCAGTAAAGAATATACGTAGAGCATTTTGTAAAGCTCTAAAGTGTCTTTTAAGTGCAACGTGTTGGCGCATCCTCAAGTGACGTCTCGAGCGCGATGAGGAGACAGATATCTGCACTGGAGGAAATGCTTGTGAACAATCATCACCGGAGTTAAATATTCATGATGTGCTGCCTCTTCTCTGCAGTTCATCCCGTGAGGTGTTGCCTCTAATCTGGCATGTCTTTTGTTCATAGTCCTGTTTCTCATCAGTAAAAGTGTGTCACATTTAATTCAAATTTTAAAAAAAAGAATAAATCTATTGATCTCCATGGGTAAATCGGGTCACTGTAGCAGCAGTAATTGACCAACCAAATCACCATTTCTGTTGCTGTGTCGGTCAACTTTCGGTCAATATGGCAACCGAAACCATTTAGTCACCAAGTGCAGTTTAAAATGACTAACTGCATGCGGGCTGTCAGGTTTACAAACAGAAGCCATCTTTTAATGCTACTTTGAACACTGGCTGTGGTACTGATGCTGAGCTCACTGACAGACTTTTACGTTTGGAGAGAGAGCAAACAACTCATCTTTCAAGTGCCTTTGTTGCCAAGAGCAGAAACGTAGGCACGAGAGGGGAGAGAACGATGAGACCAAGTGGCTGTCCGAGTGCGCGCTTAGTTGTGATTGGTGCGTTGCCATAAAGGGGCGGCGCTGAAGATCGGTCAATCGCAGCAGAAGCAAGAAAGACTCCAATCACCACGGAAACCTGTTTTACTCCACCAAAGCCAAATCACTTGGCCCAACTCCTCAACAAAGTGAATTTAAATCTGCCAGGACAATTTGTATTATATACTGGTAACAGACAGACAGAATACACACATACACTGAACAAAAATATAAAACGCAACACTTTTGTTTTTGCTCCAAAACTTAAGATTTTTCTTTGCCCATAAAAGGTTTATTTCTCTCACATTTTGGTCACCAATCTGACAGGTGTGGCAGATCGAGATACTTATCGAAGCGCATGATAGTTACACAGACTGGTCACAATAAAAGACCACTCTAAAATGTGCAGTTTTATCACACAGTTTTGAGGGAGCGTGTCATTTAGCATGCTGACTGCAGGACTGTCCACCAGAGGTGAGCGTCTCTGAGACACTTTTTTCATCAGCTGGCTGGTCTCGATGTGGAGACGATGTGGAGGTCCCGGGCTGGTGCGGGTACTCGTGGTCTGCGGTCGTGAGGCCGGTGGAATGTACCGCCTGGTGGCGATCCTGCAGGCAGCATGCCAGAGACCCGCTCCCTCAAAACTTGGATTATCTTGGCAATGTGCTCACTAACACGGATTTTCACAAATTTGTAAACAGAATTTGAGGGAAAACATCCACTTGGGTAGAAAAATGTTAGATCTTTTATTTCAACATCAAAAAAAGGGTTACGTTTATTTGTTCAGTGTACTGTATATCAAGCTTTTGCTAAAGGTCAGTGTTGTCCAATGAATAAATCAGTCTCCACAAACTGCACAAGCTCCATAAAACAGATTCACATGACATATTGTTGATTCTGTGGCGCTTGATTTGTCTCCAGGAGTATCCAGGAAGTCGGACGGCTGGGTGGGGCTGGGCTGCTGCGAGCTGGCCATCTCAGCTGAGTGTCGCAGGGAATGCAGACAGGTGAGATATCGTGAATACAGTGTGGCCAACTTTCTTTGTGAGAAGAAGTGTCTGGACATTCGTCTCGCTCAGACCTGGTGCTCCACCTCCGCTGTTGTTTTAGTGACTCTGTTTCCCTTTTTCCCTTATAGGCATCATCTAAAAATGACATAACTAAAGTATGCAAAAAAGTCACAGAGGTAAGTCCAATAAAATGAATTGCGTATTGTGATCATGCATGAAAGAGCAGAATGATATATAGACTCAAGTTCTCTAAATTAAGTAGTAATACTGCCACAATTGCTACTGTACTTCTACTGCACATTCCACTAGTGTATAACTGATACTACTGTGAAACTCTGTAACATACTAACAGTCACTTGTATGGTATAAGTACTATTTTAAATATTCTTTTTAAAGTGAAAACTAAATTAGCATCATTGTTTAAAAGAAAGCTACATAGATTGGAAAAAAATGATAAAGGGATAAAGAAGAGTCACCATACCTCTACAAAATTACATATCAATACAAAAAGACAGCCATTAAAAAAGGGGATCTTAATATTAATAAAAACAGAGTTTCCAACCTGGGGTGTGGACCATTTAGCAGTCGTTTCCTGTACTGTAGGGTATTCTTTACATCTTCAGGCCTCTATGAATCTGAGGAGGAGAAACCACTCTTCTGTCTAACTGCTGGTGACTCACATCCATTCTGAGGCCATTGATTTAAACCGTCACTTGTAAACCACAGACACAGCTTTAGTAGTTTTGTTTTGTTTTTTTGTCTCATACTGTGTTAAGATTAATCACCACCAGCTTCTCTCGTCTCCTTTTAGAACTCCCTCTACAGCTGCATCACCAAAAATGAAAGTAAGTTGTCTCTCTCACACACACACACACACACACACACACACACACACACGTAACCGAGATAAACAGTGACGACGCCAATGGCTGCAAACACTGATCTCACATCTCCCTCGGGCCAATAACTAAATAAACTCATCAAGACCACCGCTATCTTCTCGGAACAAATAGGTGGCCTTTTTTGTGCTCTCTCTCTGTAAATACACAACATGCACACACACACACACACACACACACACACACACACACACACACACAC